ATCTGAAATTTGTATTGTTTCTATCTTGTAATCTGTCGTTATTGTGTTGATTCAATAAAGTAAAATCATTGGTTTCTATGTTAAACCTTCTAAGACATATATTTTCAATATCTCTTATTGATGAAAATGAATTAAAATACTATTTATCTCCCCTCAATAGTGTTTTCGAGATTTCTCTAAATTTAGATATTTTAATATTTTTTTTTTCCTATTTTACCATACAATATAAATAGCTGTTGGAGCATAAAACGTTACTAAGGGGCCGTTTACCAAACACTTATCGGTAAAATTCAATATTATTATTTACTTACAGAGTAAGATTTTAGTCAACAAAAATGGCTTTTTATGCGACAATTTACCTAGTAAGAGCTAACCGTGGTAAGAGTCATTGCCCTCACTTACCGGGTAAGACTCTCAGTCCTTGCCTCGTTCTTACCGGGTAAGATTTTTGGTCATTACCATATTCATCCGGTAAGGTAATATAACTTGGTAAGCGCTTACCCAAGTAAAATAACCAATTTTTTTTTATTATAACATAGTTGTTGGCGATGCTTTTAAGGCTCTATTTTTGGATTTCACACTTCCCAACTATTAGACGTTAACAAATAATTTGAGAACTCCCTGAAAATCTACATTCAAACATTTTGGAACTCAACTTCCAACTAATTATCGGGTTTCAGATATGAAAATCAAGCCCCGATTTTTGAATTTTGGATTGCTTCGGGTTCGGGTTGGCCGGGTTACGGGTTGAGGTCGGTCGGGTTCGGGTTTGGTTATAATGCAAAATATATATATATATATATATATATATCCTATCGACTTTGACGATGAATTCAATTGATTTAGAGGGTTGATAAATCGATAGCATGCTCAGAAATTAGAAAAAAAACACGACCGACTAAGATTTTTATAAATTTTCAAAAGATAATTAGATAAATAAGTATATTTATATAGTATTTAAAATATATATATGTATACGGATCGGGTGGCAAAAATAAAACCCAACCTGAACCCAAATTTTCACTGAAAAGACGGTTTTCGGATTTTCTAATTTCGAGGCATTCGGGTTTTACATAAATACCTTATGTTTTAAGATGGTACGACTTACTGGTTTGTATTCCGGTTGGAAGGGGTTTTTTTTTATCATCACCACGACTTGTTGGCTATCCAAATGTTGAAGAAGGGTTGTTTTTGACATACTTCGTCATTGAAAATCATGTCGGACCGTTATGACCAATTTGCATTTGACACGCTTCCATGAAGTGCCTCATGGTATTTCAGCAAGATTTTTCCACGTGTCTATTTGACGAGGAATTTCTCGACGTCGTTAGTAGATGGCCCATCTCTTGCATAGGGCTTTTTATCCCCCCTTAAACAATACGAGATCAAAATTATCCTAAATCAACGCATTACTACTGTGGTTGGTAATGGTGTAATTTTTGGACGCAGTCGTGAGGTCAAATATTGATTTTTTTTTCTAGTGAAGCTTTAATTGAGTGTTAAAAAGTTGCCTTGTCGGTTACTTTGGTCTCGGCCTTGCTCTAGCTTGAATATAGACCCAGCCTTATGATGATCGGACTTTCATGGGTCAAGAATTTTTTGTGCATCTCTAGTTGTATATATTGGGGTTCAGACATGGCTCATGAGTACCCAAATTGTGTGTTGTTCTTTGGAGTGCACAAAAACCCGACCAACTTAACTTAAAGCAATCTGATGCCTAATCAAGTTGTAAATTTTTTAAACCATAAGTATGGGGTTAGACCTCTCTGAATCAGACTCATCCCGGTGAACCCGATTCTTTTGTTACTCTTATATACCTCTTATACTGTTTTTGCTCTTGCGTCGTTTGTGCATATATATCGGAAAAAATCATTTCTCTTGAGTTGTAACGGATGCATTCAAAGAGACCTAACAATTTCATTACGTTCTAGTTTGACCTATACATTAAGCCTGGCATTACTCTTGTAAGTTTCAAAGTCATTAATTTTACCTATTAATTGTTTGATCATATCTATCAGTAAAATAATGTAAATCCCAACCGATGAACCAACCTGTACAGCTTGAGTTGGGTTGTACTTTTGATGGATTAAGTTGGGTTAAGATTTTTGAAACCGTAAACCTTAAATTGAGTTATTCAAATATTTTCAAACCAACCGCCCCTAATGTTTATAGAGGTTATTTGTGTTATTTTACATTGCATGGATGATTGGCTCAGGGTTGAGTGAGTCAATGCCTTAGTGGTATGTTAAGCATCTCCAATCTTTTTTGAAGTATGATTTTTAATAATAAACTATTATTTTGGGATAGAGGGAGTATATTGTTTGAGTTCTTATATAAAAATCTTTTTTTTGTTAATCATGGGTGTCCATGTCAACTTGTACGCACCTCGACTAATTCCAGTAGCCTTGGAGAAAAACCAGGAAAATTCCAATGACTTTACAAGACTAGAACGGATGACCGGTAAGGAGGATCCCAACCCAAGTTTTGTACAAGAATCTTGGTTGGTCATTACCTTGAACGTTATGTAAAATATAGTTTTGAATTGATTTAAAAAGACGTTATAAAATTAGTGGTGAAAAAGGCACATCAGACTCACAAGAAAGATGTTCATGTAAGTTACTCCATTTGTCAGATTCTATGAAAGTTCTTAATTTGATGAATTAACAGTGATTACAAAAAATAGGTTCTTATAAGTCGCTCCATTGCAGTGGGTTCTTATAAAGCTGGTGTACCATTTTTAAAACAAAAAGAACAAGGGTTTTGAATCTTATAATCATAATGTGGAAGTTCCAATTCCTTTGGAGATTCGGTTTCTTATTACCACCAGACTCTTGAATTGGTTACTTAATCGATGCCTCTTATATACCTTATTTGGCTCTTACATGGTTAGTGTTTGACAGTTATAAACCCGTTTACGCGAACCGTTAAATTACATTACAAACCCTTCTAAAATACAATATGATTCAACTTTCTTGAAGTGGAATTCTTTCATCAATGAATCTTTGAGACCCCAATTTGAAGTCAAAAGGAGAATATGCAACTTCTAAAGAGAAATTTACCAGGCATATTACCATATCAATAGAAAAAAGTAGCATCTGTTGCATTGAAGGTTCATCACAAAGATTTCACATATTTACCAACCAAAAATTTGAATCAAAATATATGTAGAGGAACAAGAGTCAAAACTTTGAATTTTATGATAACAGATCCTCCCACCTTATGAAACACCATTCATCCCTGCAGTGCAACACAAACCAACCTCAGACCAATCAACAACAGACAGTACCAAAAATCTAGTCAGATTCAACAAGATTCACAAAAAAAGATTCATACCCATTTCATCTTATCGCAAAAATAGCATTTCCTTAAGCGGAAAATCCTGTTGTCGAGATGAAAAATACACCAACATTATGAATATATCGCGGCCCATACTAAAACCAGCCATCAGAAGTTGTATCTTTTCATTCTATTATACGTAAAGATGCCTCCTTTTTGTGCTATACCTACACATAAAACGGTTTTTTTTCAAGAACCAATGATGAAAGAATGTACTTCCGCCCAACTAGAAACTGTATACAGAACGCCCGATAAGCGTTTCCAACTGAAAGAGCTTCCTTCCACATGCTCTTTCTGCTTCTTCACTAAACCAGGAAACAACGGAATGAAGGAAACACCAAAATGGCTCCCAATTCTTCGAAGACTTGAACTTGAGCCAATTACTATGCCTATATCGGCTTCAAGCAGGCAAAGCAAGTCACCAACGGAGTCCCCAATGTAAATTGTCAGGTTCATTTTGTCAGTTTTCCCCAGAATTTCGGTAAAAGCTTCAAGCTTGTCAATGGGGGACTCGACCTTTTTCACAATTTCCCCAGTGGATAGAGAGCCTTCGTACTCCAATTCATTTGCACGTACATGCACTGTGTGGATGCCCCCTGTTCATTTAACAAAAAACAAACCACATTTTTATGAACTGATGTGATGTAAATGCAGATAAGTCTTGATGGTAACCATCGGTGGCAGCTCAGTGACATCAACTGATAAGCACATTCCCTTGGGGTGCGTTTGGTATGCAGACGAGTTTGGACAGGATCAGACGGACAAAAATGAGGTAGTCGGGTGAAAGAGTTCTGAAGGTTTTAGGGTTTTAATTTGACATGGGTAATTTAGTAATTTATCAATTTTGTTCCATCTTCCTTATTTTTCTTCCAACTATTTTAGTTGTCCTACTCACATCCTGTCCTGTCCCAGTCTAATATTGCACCAAATATGGGACAACAGGTTTTGTACTGTCCTGTTCTATGTACCAAATGCATCCTCGAGAAGTGGGTTTTTGTATATGTCTCCCCATTGAAAATTTTGAAAAAAATTCACTTGTATCTTGACACCAAGTGTTAGGAATGCTAATTATAGTTCATACTACAATGAGTAAATCACAGAGTGATCATGTGACAGATCATAGTGTGTGTGTATGTATGATGAATTCATAACACAATGGTAAACGTTCACACACACTCATATTGACAGTGTGCTGATTTTGTGAATATTGTGCAGTTTTGCAATGATGATTTACCACTTTTGATGAAAATGGGCATCCTCTTATATTTTTAGTTTTGCAAAAATTGCTTATTCTTGCAAAGGGTAGTGTTTTTTTGTGCATTTTCAGAAGATTGATGGTTTGTTTGCAGTAAAAGAAAAGAACACAAACCATAAGATAAGTTAGAAGTCACGATGATAATACCTGATGAGAAAGCGGACCTAATAAGATCACCACACCAACAATAGGATAGGACATTCACATTCGCATTCAAATTTTCATTCTTGGTGACGCTCTGAAAGAACCGCATGCAACCATCATGGAGAATAAGTCGTTCACCAGCACGTTTAATATCTTCTAGATTCAAGCCCTTGAGTACCTCTGATTCTATCACTCTAGTGTTTGCCCTTCTCTCAAACCCTGATAGTTGTTCGAGCGCTTTCTTTAGTCCCTCATAGTCAAAGCTCCCAACTGCAAAACCACCAAAATAATATTCAATTTGGTGTCACAACTCACAACTAAAATAATCCATAGGAAACAGCCGCTCTACTCGTTTGGTTTGGTTTAGGACTGTACCTTTCTCATTGGCCAACATATTTTCTGTGCATTGTTCGTACTCTTCTGAGTACTGTCTCGAGAGTACCTCCCATGTGTTTCTCAAGTCAACCGAGGGCATCCTAGTGATCTGACTTTGACTTTCAGGTTGAATTTGATCAGATTTTGGTGCAGTAACTATAGCAATCTCAGCCAGAATGGCAGACGAATCCACCACTGTGCATGTCAAGTCGAAATCAGAAAAAATCATAAGACGGTGTTCTGTAGGAATATGCTGCTTTGATAATGGAAGAACGGTCTGCTGATCAACAGGCTGAGCTAAAAAGAATTCCATCTCAAGTTTCAATGCTTGATGATAAAGTTTTTGCATAGTATCAAGTTCTTCACCCGTCAAAGAGACACTTAATTTGTCCAGCAAGTCTTCAGTCTGGAGCATTGCTGCCTAATTTCATAAAACAAAATTCAATATTAAGAACGACTCTCACTAAGGCCATGTTTGGTAAAAACTAGCTGATAAGCTAGATGACAATGTAAAATGACCTAAAAGGACACGGGTAAAAATTAATTGGAAAAATATAAGGGGCACAATCTGAAAAAGTGGAAAAAAGCCCTGCCTGGAGCTTATTGAAACGCTACTTGAAGTAGCCTTTCAAAAAGCTAGTTTATGGCTAATCAAATGGTGCTTTTTTAATAAGCTCGAAAAATAAGCTAGCTTATGGTTGCCAAACATGGCCCAACACACACCTGTGAGCCAGAAAACATGAAATTTGCCCAGGTCAGGTGGATGGGTGCTTTGCATAGATTTACTGACTAGTTGGACCAATGGTGTCAAATACCAAAGTTATAAAAAAACAGTAGAACATTTCATGTTGTTAATATCGTTAAGTAAATCTATGGCTACCACAAATCTAACAATCAAACTTACCACATGTAGGACATATGGTGAGTTTGACCCCAAAAGTTAAACTGAAAAAGAAAATTTTGAACCTGATAGGCTTCAGAGGAGTATTTGTCGATCCATTTCTCGTATGGGTGCTTATCACCATTAGCATCCGCAAGCGATTTGAGCTCCTTTCCAAGAAAAACATAAAGCCTCATGCAAGGGGCCATTGCCCCCAGCGTGTATGCTGCAACCTTAGTTTTTTCAAAAGGAGTCGCAAGTTCTCCAGGACCTTTTACTCCTTCAACTTTCCCAGATGCGGTTGCCAACAAGAAGTTTGTGTACTTCACAGTTGCAGCATTCGGTGCCGTTTCATTCGACAAGTCGAGATCCCACTCCTGGATCACATGTTGCTTCAACATAAGTGTGCTTAATTCAAATGAGCATACACAACTTCCACACATTTTACAAAAACCAAATTCTAAAGTGTGTCATACTGTAACAGGTCATTTTCCTCTACATGTTCTAATAACGTAATGTTTAAACTCGACACACTGACTAGGGCCTTTTGCATGGTGACCACCAAACCAAACCAACCAAAACGAACCCAATACATACCACCCAGAGGTGGGGTTTTGGGAGGGTAATATGTAAGCAGGCCCGACCTCTGCCCCAAAAAGTAGAGCATCGAAAAACAAAAAGATCAATTTCCATTTCGCAATTACACCCTCGGGTAATGATTCAAATAACCACTAAAACAAACAGAAAGCTTGTCAAAAATAAGGGGTAAACTTTTTATAGAGAACTTAACGGGGGAGTTTCTAGAGGCAGCACATTATTTGTTAACATTTAAGTATTGGAAAGTGTGAACTCAAAGAATAGAGGCTTATTTGATGCTCCCCTCATCACAAAAAAGAGAGTTGATTGTGTAATCTTCCGTTTTAAAAAAGAAGTCCTACATTATGACAAAGCTAAATGCTCCTAAATTACCAACACATTCTTATTGACTGAACAATTTTTTTTTTGTTAGTTTGTATATACCGAGTGTATAATTGTGCAAAAAAGTTGCTTTGAAACTCATTCTAGATTTTGAAGTGGGACTTCTTTTAATCCTAAAAATCGACTATCAAGCGCCTAAACGGACCTACAAAGGCTTACGATGTCCTCCACAAAACTCCTTTAGGTAGAAAAGTTTATGAGAAATATGAGTTCCTAAAATCATACTATTGGAGCCATATAAGTCGATGACTTGGTCATCCTTCACTTGTTTCTAAATGAAGTAAAAGTTAATGCTAAAATAGGTCTGATAACTTGATTTTTATGTTGGCCAATAACCACAAAATGGTATCTTCACCTATGATTAACAAGTCAAAGAAGGAAACATCATCACCATTGAACTATGCTTTCTTTATAGAAGAGTGAAATAGATTTTTAACTACTATAATCATCCTTTTGTGCAAAACAACTTATACACTTATGAAAATGCAAATATTCCACTCAAGTATGCAATTTCTTGCAGTTTTTACAAATCAATTAACAAAGTACAATGGTTGTTTTGCAATGAAATGACAAGTTTAATGGTTGAAAATGCAATAAATTGCAAGTTTTTGGTGGTTCTTTGCATTTTTCACATATACAATGGTTGTTTTGCAATGAATTGACAAGTAAAATGGTTGACAATCTAATTCACTCCTTTATAAAAACAATAGCTAGTTAACAACTTCTACAAGCATATTATGTTTAATGTGTATTCGTCTAAAAACAATTCTAGTCACCAAATGTAATTACTGTAATAGTTACTCATACAAATGACTCCAAAGACATTAATGTTCAGCATGATATTCTTCTAATGGCTCAAGAAATGAGTGCATCATATGTGGTTCTGATAAGCGATAGATACCAAAAGTGTTCATAACTTATCAGTTTTGTTAGTTGTGATCAGCTCATACATCATAATCATAATCCCTACCCATCAGAATTGTATGAAGCACAAGAATGTTGTTTGCATAAAGCAAAAAGAATTGTGAAATCTAATAAAATAGAAAATATAAGTACATATAATCGTGTGCTCATATAATTTACTTTGTCCAATCATGCAACATACCAAATCTCACCTAGTTGTTTATATGTAAATGTTTCTTGAAAGGAAAAATTGATAAAGAAAAGGCTATTTTCACAATTTGTTTCAATTACAAGAAAACTATCAATCAAATATGTATACTCTCGATCTCTCACACACATAAGTTAGACCACTTTCATCCAATTTAATCAAATTAATTAACAAAATGATTAAATTAGAACATGAGTGCAAGGGGAAGAACATTTGATAGAGAGAATGCAAATGATTTTAAAGGTTAATGATGATTTATGTTGGTTAATAATTTAACTAAAACTGAACAACAGTGATGCAATTGGTATGATTATGAAAAGATAAGTATTGTAATTCATAAGCTTTTTGCTTGAGTGTGTAATTGAATAAAATGTGAATACATCGATGTTATATCTATTTTTTCTTCAAAGAGTTAAATCCCAAAAACAGTAACCAACTCAAGAAGCATCATCATTTCTTTACGTTCTACAACGAATGATATGTCTAATAAAAATATGACAACAAGATAGGACTAACAAAAGTACGAAAATGGAAGATAAAAAATAATAAGTGCACCCACATGCTTTGCAGTGACAATCTTTCGGGTCCAATTATTTCCTCATATAATTGGTCTATAAGTTTGCACATCACACGCCCTAACGCTCAACAACACCTTCACAGAGTCACATTGCTTCTAGCCAATTACCTTAAATGATGCATAGAAAAAGAAAAACAAAAACAAAGGTTCTTGGACCATCATCTTGGAGATAGAGTTATAGACGTATAGCCATCGATTTACTTCAACAAAGCCTTCAACCCTAATCCTAGAAACAACATCCAATTGGAAGATCCAAGATAAATGCTGGAAAACCCCGCATCAAGAACGCAAAGTATATGAATGCAGGGAAAACCAACATCAAGAAACATAGCCCAATTCTAGGAAATTGTCTCTTTCATGTCCATTTTTCAGGAAATACCAATAAACATGATTTGACATTTCAGAAACCCCAGATTGAAATCCATCTGGCATTCTTTATTTGGTCACAAACAGTAATTGCATAAAAAAACTCACACAATCAAATATACAATTAAGTCTTACTTGCACAAAGGAGGCATGCTGTTTAAGCTCTTCAAGGGCCCTCTTTCTTAATTCAAGAATTGAAACTTTAGCATCATCATCATCTGCACAATCCTCGGCTAGTTCATATCTATCACGAAGAAGAACACACAAATCAACTATAACACAATACGCAAAATGGGCAATCCAAGAACCACAAATACTTAAAGAGATAATTAATTACTCACGCTTGGGCAAAGCATTTGAAGAAATGAACATCCTGAGCGACGTAATGGCCAAATGTATCAAGCTTAAGATTTCCAGAAGCCAAAGAAACAACAAACGGTGTGTAGAGTGTGAGAATCGATTCTTTACTGAATTTATCCCAGAAACGCTTCGCGGTGCCTTCTTCATTTGGCTTTGAAGTTGTCGCCATTGATGAAATTCTTAGGAAAACGAAATTGAAATTGGGATTGTGATTCTGTAGAGCAGAAGGGTATCTTCTTATGTTGCTATTAAAGAAAGCAGATCGAATAGAATTGATTGGAATCCTGTTGTTAAGAAAAAGGCGCATCAAGAAACAAGAATTTTGGGGGAATTAGAAGGAAAAAGGGGTACAGAGAGAGTTGAGTTAAAAGGGGGAATTACAAGTATGCTGTATAAAGAAAGAATCACATCTGAGGCGTATGGGTACAAATAGATGAATACATGTAGCAGAAAAGAGTGCAGCAGTCGAGTGGGTAGGCGTCAAAAGGAAGAAGTTGGGCGCGGGGGTTTGGTTTTGGGTGGAAATTTTGGAAAAATTGGAAAGTGTTAAACATTTTCTTTTGGACTTGGGCTTTGACCCTCTTTGCTTCCTTTCTTTCTCATTTCTCCCAATTGAATATATTTTTTTTTTTGTGGTTTTTATGGATTGGGTTGATCGGGTTGAAGACATTTGAATAACCTAATTTAATGTTTACGGTTTGAAAAAATCTTAACCCAACCCAAACCAAAGTGCAACTCAATCCGTACGAGTTGGTCGGGTGGATATTTTGGTGTATTAAAATATTTTCTAACCTTAAATATGTTATTTCTCTATTCATAATTTTTTTTTTCATCATCAACCATTTGATACTTATTCATATTTCTTACGTATATCACATTCAATTAATTTTCTCAATTTACATATGTTCACAGTTACTGAATTAGTTATATAGAGATGAATAAATTGAAAATATGTATATATGAAAAACATAATTGATAGTGTAATTGTCTAATGTATATATTAATAAAAACTCAACAATCATATTAAATCCAAAAAATAAAATGATATCGGGTTCATCGAGTTATGTTTGGTTCAAATAATAGTAACCCGATATCAACCCAATACATCGGGTTGCTTCGGGTTGGGTTATTTCGCGTTGGGTTGGGTTGGGTTTATCGGGTTGGTCGGGTTTTTGAGCACCCCTAATTCTTTTGGTTCAATATTTAGGGATTGTTTGTTTATCTCTTAATAGTTCCATTAAAAGTCAGTCTCTGAATCGTTAAGATGTGAATCTTGTTTGACAAAAAGAAAGTCTGTCTCTTAATGGTTTTAAAACCCTCTGAGTGATTTTGTATCATGTGCCCCACTTAACCATTCAGCGCCCTAATTTTATTGTGAATAATCCAAACAATTATATTTCATTTTGTATTATATCATGAGAGTCTCTTAATCATTCTGACCACTTAATCATTATGTACCAAACCATTCAGCAACTACCAAACACCCCCTTAAAGTATGCAAATTCTATAAGTTATCGTTCTGTAAAAAGGGTATGACGTTGTCCTCTGGAGCATCACTATTGTGTTGGTTTCACTGTCATCATAAGAAATTAGATCGTGTGTTATAAGAGCTAAGAGCAGGTGGGTGTCGTATGTAATCAAATTCTTTAAATTGTCATAATACTGTTTTTATGCTTTTATAAATTATGGTTATTGTATAGACTATTGAACAAAACTGTAATTATCAATCTTCATCTTCTTCTATTGTCGTCGATGAATTATCATGACATTCTTGCTTCTATCGTCACCACCTTTTTCTAAAAGGGATTGTAGTGATTCTCTTTTTATGCTCTTTAAAATGGCACCTACCCACCACCGATTATTGTTGTTGTTGTTGTCAGGATCACTTATCAACAACTGACACCACTGTCACGTATTAGTAACTTTGAAACAACAATATCGCCACGTACGTACCAAAATGATATAGTCACCCAAAATGATGATGATATGGTGATGCTACGATTGGCCCTTGTGCATTTTACTTCATGATAACTCTCGTTTTTAGTGTTATTTTATACTTTGTTAATGTGTATTTTTATTCTCTTTTAGTGTGTGTTTTTCCTTTATGTATCTGTGTTTCGCTTTTTTTTATTTATTTCTTTTCATTTGAAGTTGTTTAGGATAAGAGTCTGTGTTTGATTATTGTATGTGTCGAGAAATAGCTAAAAAGGTCGGATTTTGACGTTGTAAGTCATAGTGGCGAGTCACCACCGTGACAAGCAGTAGCTGTAGTTGTAGCTGCAAGGATTATGGGAGATTTATTGCCAAATATGTGAAAAAGGAATGAAAAATCCAACCTTGGTCAAACCTGAAGCTTCCATACAAGTAAAGAGAAAGAGGACAATTAGGATAAGACAAGCTTGATAGATCACTTTCTTTCATATATATATATATATATATAGGTTGGTTCAAATACTAACCAAAACTATTGTGCAAACTATGTTAACCAACATCAACCAATCATCTTCCATCTTTTAGTTAGGTTCAAATGTAACTCACATATTAATTGTAAGGGTATTTAGGTAATTTATCATTCTTATGTAACTCCCAAATAT